TTTAATTATGTTGATTAGACGCATATGTAAGATTTAAGATTTTTAGATGATTAATAGATTGTAATAATTTTAATTAGTTGGGTATGTAAGGTTTGGAATTTTTTTAAATGATTGATTAATTTTAATTATGTTTATTAGACGTATATGCAAGGTTTAGGATTTTTAGATGATTAATTGATTGTAATAATTTTAATTAGTTAGGTATGTAAGGTTTGAGATTTTTTTTTAGGTGCTTGATTAATTTTAATTATGTTGATTAGATGTATATGTAAGGTTTAAGGTTTTAGATGTCCTAATATAATATTTAATTGTTCGAATTTTGGGGCGTGACACCGACTTCAAGTCTGACCAACTCTCCCCTCAACCTCAACCGGACTAAAGGTTTTTTTTTTTTGGATGATTGATTGATTTTAATTATTTGCATTAGTTGGGTATGCAAGGTTTAGGGTTTTATTTTGGGTGACTTTATTAATTCTTTGAGTGATTCTTTGATCTTCAAAAATAATTGTGAGTACAAAATCCACTTCCCTTGATTTATATTTAATTCTTTGTTTTTATTTATTTATTTGATATTAGTTTGATTTTGTATTCACATAAAGATGATAGATTGATTTTAATTATTTTGACTAGTGGTGTATGTAAAGTTTAGAGTTCTTAAATAATTGATTGATTTTAATTACTTTGATTAATTGTGTAGGTAAAGTTTAGAGTTTTTAGATGACTGATTAATTTTAATTATTTTGTTTAGTTGTGTATGTAAGGTTTAGGGTTTATCGATGATTGATTGATTTTAATTATTTTGATTAGTTGTATATGCAAGGTTTAGGGTTTTTATATGGTTTGATTTTATGATTGTAATCACACTCATGATTATATAAAATTAAAATAAACTTAGAATCCATTGATATTAGTTAGAGGATGTATTGATTCGTTGTTTTTATTTGTTTATTTTTATTTGATGTTGGATTGATTTTGTATTTGCATGTAAATGATGAATTGATTTTAATTATTTTGATTAGCTGTATATGCCATGCTTAGGATTTTTATATGAATTTATTTTATGGTTGTAATTACACTCATGGTCTTATGAAATTAAAATTAATTAAGAACCTATAGATAAATTCCTTATACTCCACCATGACTCCGTGGATTGTTGTTTTATTTGAGTGATGGTGAGAAAGAGTGTATAAAAAAAAGTGAGGATTATGAGATTTATTTGAATGCCTTAGGCTCGGCATTGTTATGTTTATTCTCATGTGTGAGATGTTGTGTATATATATATTGTTGCCTCATTTTCAGGGGTAGACGAGTGCTTTGATTTACGCGCGTGCGTATATGCTAACCATCCGGGGAGTGTGAGTCAAACTCGGAACGATATCCCCGTGCAAGTTTGGCTTCGGAGCGGTGTTAGGTATACGGGAGGCACATGGGATATATGTGTAGGCCGGAAGGGGAGGGCCAAAATGGTGGAGTTAAGGAACAAAGAATTTAATTATGAATTTATTAGTATAGTGTGTATGGTACTGTTATGTACATGATAAAAAAAAAAGAAGTAAACGATCTTGATAAATTATGAAATTTGAGGAGAGACATGTATACGTGATTTTGGATAACTCTTGTGTTTTAGCTTTTTATTAAAAAGATCGATTAGAACTTATAATCGGATGACCTTAGTTATTGTCGGTTTGATTCACTTTGGTAATGCAGATTTTATAGGCTGTTTTAATCACGAAACGAGTTCATTTTTATTGGTTTCGCGTAAACTGAAGTAAAACATTATTCTGCACACTTTTCATGTTTTGAACTTTTTCGGAAAAAAATCATCTTATGGCAGTTTTTGTTTGTTTTCAGCTTCATATTTTTCGATTGAATTCCGTCTAGATTTTTAGATCAAGCCTTTCTCTTAACCTGTTCAGTTTCTGTTAAATTCGTTCACGTTGTCTTTTAGGAAATTTGATTCTGTACAACTTTCGTTCTTTGAGTTTTGATCAATTCGAATTATTTAAGTATGAAACGGTGTAATTTTATATTTGTTTCAACAAGTTACTTATGATTAAATTATACTAACTTTATTTGTTTTGCAGGATGGTGGGTCTTACTAACTTTTTATGCAAGGCTGACCCACCATATTTTTATTTCTATATTGTCTATTCTATAATCAATTTATATTTCGTTGTATATGGACAAGAAACTAAATGCCATCGTATCTCGGGAAACTACTCATTTGTCTCGGTGCGGTTGGAACTACTTGTCTTGTCCCGTGCAAAATTGCTGTCTCTCCGTTTGGAAGGAAGACGATTTCCTTAGATTAGGGATACACAAAAATAATACTCCCTCCGTCCCAAAATATTTGTCCCTTTTGGGGAATCCAACTTTTTTTGGTAGTACACTTATTGCATTTGAAAAAAGTTGGTTTTCCAAAATTACCCTTTTGATAGTACATTTTTTGGGAATATCAATGTCATAATTGTACTTTTTAAATTGTTTATTAATTTAAAAGAAGGGCAAAATAGGAAATTTACATTATTTTTGTACTTGATTTATAAAGAGGGACTAATATTTTGGGACAATGAAAAATGGAATAAGGGACTAATATTTTGGGACGGAGGGAGTAATAGTTTATTAAGTTGTTATGGATGAGATTTAGGTTATATATATATATATATATAATATGTAGTCAATTAGGTTATAAACATAAAGAAAGAAAAAGAGAGTGCTGTGTGTGTGGCGTGAGAGAGAGAGAGAGATATCAAGAAAAGAAAACCAAGATCAAGAAAAGAAAAAAAAAACAAGAAAGCCGAGATAAAGAGGAACACCGGGAAAAAGGAAGAGGAAAAAAATAAAAGGAATAGGGTTTTGTTTTGGTGGCTCCTTTAGCTCTCCAAATACTTTATTGATCTTCAAAATAATATTGTGAGTACAAAACCCACTTTCTTTGATTTATGTTTAATTCGCTGTTTTACTTATTTATTTATTTTTATTTGTTTCATGTTAGTTTGATTTTGTTTTACATAAAGATGATAGATTAATTTTAATTATTTTGATTAGTTGTGGATATAAGATTTAGGGTTTATAGATGATAGATTAATTTTAATTACTTTGACTAGTAGTATATGTAAAGTTTAGGGTTCTTAGATAAGTGATTGATTTTAATTACTTTGATTTGTTGTGTAGGTAAACTTTAAGGATATTTAGATGATTAATTGATTGTAATAATTTTAATTAGTTGGGTATGTAAGGTTTGAGATTTTTTTTAGACGATTGATTAATTTTAATTATGTTGATTAGATGAATATATAAGGTTTTGGATTTTTAGATGATTAATAGATTGTACTAATTTCAATTAGTTGGGTATGTAAGGTTTGTGATTGTTTTAGATGATGGATTAATTTTAATTATGTTGATTAGACGTATATGTAAGGTGTAGGATTTTTAGATGATTAATTGATTGTAATAGTTTTAATTTGTTGGGTATGTAAGGTTTGGGATTTTTTTTAGGTGATTGATTAATTTTAATTATGTTGATTAGACGTATATGTAAGGTTTAGGATTTTTAGATGATTAATTGATTGTAATAATTTTAATTAGTTGGGTATGTAAGGTTTGGGATTTTTTTTAGATGATTGATTAAATTATACTAATTTTATTTGTTTTGCAGGATGGTGGGTCTAACTAACTTTTTATGCAGGGCTGACCCACCATATTTTTTTATTTCTATTTTGTCTACTCTATAATCAATTTATATTTCGTTGTGTACGGACAAGAAACTAAATGCCATCGTATCTCGGGAAACTACCCATTCGTCTCGGTACGGTTGGAACTACTTGTCTTGTTCCGTAAGAAGAAATAATGTACTTTTTGTTTGTGTCTGGTGGACACGTGGGGGTCAATTCTTGTACTCATACCAGTATACATATATACTGACCCGTTTTGTCTCTTGGCAACTCGGGTGCGTTCTGTTTGAGCGCAGCTGAGCTTTCTTTGCAGGATTAGTTGAGGCTACGGTGGTGACGTGGATTTACGATAGTGTTGGACCTGTCGTTTGGACTTCTTTTGTTTTATTGAGCTTAGAATTGATATTAGTCTATGTATTTATTATTTTCTGTATGACTTTAGTATTGGAATGACTTTAGTATTGAAATAATTTGGCATGGTTTGTAACCGTACTTTATTTTAGTTGTTTTGACTAGTTGTTGCTACCTTGATGTTGAGGTATTTGTTATTTATGAGATTATGGTGGATGGTTTGGTTGGCGTTTTAGTTTTTTTTTTGTTTCACCCCTAGGGTTTGGATGATGGATTATTAATTAGGGTTTAGTTTTAATTTAATATTTAATTGTCCGAATTTTGGGGCGTGACAGTTTGGTATCAGAGCTCTAGGTTACCCTAGACTTATGAGAGTTTAAGTGATCCTCGGATTGTGGAAGCATTGGTTAGCTGGTTTAGTTTTGTGATTGAGTTTATTCTAAGTATTTAAGAACGAATTCTTCTTATGTGTTTATAACTTGAAGGAGATGGCTGGAAGGTATCTTTAATTTTTTTTTTTTTAGAACCGATTAAAGTACTTTTTGATACTGGTGTCTCTCATTGTTTCATATCTAGGTAGTTTGTAGAAAGAGAACGTATTGTAACTACCTCATTTGTCTAGACCTATTTGTGTTGAAACCCCTTTAGGAGGGGCAGTTACTCTTTGTGGGATGTGTAAAGATTTTGAGATTGATTTTGCGGGTAGAGTCTTGTATGCAGACCTAATTGTGTTAGGGTTTGAGGGGTTTGTAATTATTTTGGGTATGGATTGGCTGTGAAAACACTTTGTGACTCTAGATTATGCTGGAAAGACTGTAAATATAGATATTCCTGGTATGCCACGGCTTTCCCACACTTTTACCGATAGAGAAGAGTCGATGATGACGAGTTTTCTGTGTTCAGTAGAAATCCCTAAGCAGGATATTAGTGAGGTAGATGTGGTACGAGAGTTTGAGGATGTATTTCAAGAGATACCTGGACCTCCACCTCGACGGGTAGTAGAATTTCTCATTGACCTAGTGCCGGGAACTGCACTGATTTTGAAGGTGGCATATAGAATAGCGCCTAAATCACTTTTCTTGATTTATGTTTAATTCGCTGTTTTATTTATTTATTTATTTTTATTTGTTTGATGTTAGTTTGATTTTGTTTTACATAAAGATGATAGATTAATTTTAATTATTTTGATTAGTTGTGTAGGTAAAATTTAGGTTTTTTTTTAGATGATTGATTAATTTTAATTATGTTGATTAGATGTATATGTAAGGTTTAAGGTTTTAGATGATTAATTGATTGTAATAATTTTAATTAATTCAGTATGTAATGTTTAGGATTTTTAGATGATTGATTAATTTTAATTATGTTGATTAGATGTATATGTAAGGTTTAAGGTTTTAGATGATTAATTGATTGTAATAATTTTAATTAATTGAGTATGTAAGGTTTAGGATTTTTAGATGATTGATTAATTTTAATTATGTTGATTAGATGTATATGTACGGTTTAGGATTTTTAGATGATTGATTAATTTTAATTATATTGATTAGATGTATATGTAAGGTCTAAGATTTTAGATAATTAATTGATTGTAATTATTTTAATTAGTTGGATATGTAAGGTTTAAAATTTTTAAATGATTGACTAATTTTTAATTATTTTGATTAGACGTGTATGTAAGGTTTAGAGTTTTTGGGTGATTGATTGATTTTAATTATTTGCATTAGTTGGGTATGCAAGGTTTAGGGTTTTATTTTGGGTGACTTTATTAATTCTTTGAGTGATTCTTTGATCTTGAAAAATAATTGTGAGTACAAAACCCACTTCCCTTGGTTTATGTTTAATTCTTGTTTTTATCTATTTGTTTGATATTAGTTTGATTTTGTGTTTACATAAAGATGATAGATTAATTTTAATTATTTTGACTAGTGGTGTATGTAAAGTTTAGGATTCTTAGATAACTGACTGATTTTAATTATTTTGTTTAGTTGTATATGTAAGGTTTAGGGTTTATCGATGATTGATTGATTTTAATTATTTTGATTAGTTGTGTATGCAAGGTTTAGGGTTTTTATATGGATTGATTTTATGATTTTAATCACACTCATAATTATGGCCTCGTTTGGGAAGTGGTTGTTTTAGTAGGCTATTTTTGTTTTTGGCTATTTTAAGTAGGCTAAAATTTTTTTGTTTGGGAAGATGATTGGTTTTTTTTTTTGTGGTTGAATGTGATGTTTGTGAGAGAAAAAGTAAAATGATTATGGGTTTGATGTGATATTTTGTCTTATTAGCTATTTTAGCCTATTTTGTCCTTTTGTGATTTTTAGCCTAAATCTGGCTATTTTTTTTCTTCCCAAACACCCCCTATATAAAATTAAAATAAACTTAGAATCCATAGATATTGGTTAGAGGATGGATTGATTCGTTGTTTTTATTTGTTTATTTTTATTTGATGTTGGATTGATTTTGTATTTGCATGTAGATGATGGATTGAGATAATGATAATTTTATGAGAAAAATTAAAAAAAAAACAAGGGAGATATCAAAAAAAGTAATGCTTAAATAAATAAAAAGTTGACATGTGTGTCCACCTCATTAAGAGAAAATTTAGGAGTGATGTCTTAAGCATTTCCCATATCAATACAATTTAAATTGTATGTAACCAAAGAATTATTTGAAAGTTTGCAAGGTTAGACAAATCAACATATGCGTTAGTAAAACTGAACATGAAGGACTTATGTATTGTTAACGAGGGATAAGCAAGACAAAGCAACTCAACATGGGAATTTTTGTCACACCTTGAATTCAAAGACCTAGAACTGTAAATTGCAACTAAATTATGTTTTATGATAAAGAATATTAATTTGTGGAGTTAATTGAACATATAAGGGTAACAAAATCACTCAAAAGTCAAAATTATTGACTGATGCATATGGAGCTCACTAGCCAGCCACGTGCAATCGCACATGCCCACACTATTACAAAAAAGCAACAAACACGACTATCCTCCACCGATAGCCCAAAACAGTTATTTCTAGACTGGAAATAAATATATCAACAATTCAATAGGCGAGTGATTTTAATTATCCAACTACACCATTTAATCAATGAATTCCTCAATTTCATGCATTTAACCAATTTCCCCAATTTCCTTAAATTAATTATACAAATTAATTTATTAATACAACTAGGGTTTTTCCCAAAATTACCAAAGTACTCCCAACATATCAAAATACCAAAACTTAGAACAAAACTTATAGGATGGAGTAGGAAATCCCTACCTCGAAGAAAATAACCCGAATGGAGAAGACGAAGATGAATACCCGAATTCCAAAGTGCTCCAAACCACCAAACGTTCAGATTAAATAGAAGCCCTTGACTCACTCTGTCTTTTTAATAAAGGACTAGGGTTAGATACTCACCCTAGGTAGATCAATTCTTAGAGAGAAGGCAGGTTTAGAGAGAGAGAGAGACTCTCAAGGGGCGGTTTTTAAAAGTTAAGAAAGAAAAGTAGGTCAAAAAGTGATCCAAAAAGTGAAATCACGGACTGATGTAGTCGACTCTTCGCTCGAGCGTCCAAACTCCCGCTCGAGCGTCGAATACGCACTCCCAGTACTTTTGCAGAACCAGGTCCCCGCTCGAGCGTCCAATTCCACGCTCGAGCGGCACTCACACATTTCCGCTCGAGCGTCCAATCCCACGCTCGAGCGTCCAACACTGCACAGGAAATACTGGATGGGTGATAATCCCGCTCGAGCTCCAAAACCCCCGCTCGAGCGGACAAGCAACAAAAGAATCCTCGCTCGAGCGTCAAACTCCTGCTCGAGCGGACAGGTAAAAATCTGGGCAACTAGTTTTGGCATCTAAACTCAACCGACTTGTAACAGACCCGCCCAACACATCCTATAACTCAAATACAAAGAGATTAAATGACGACAACAACCAATATATACTGACAGGATCCACGAAACCTAAGTCCGGATACAATAATCTAAAGGAAAAGGACCGGGGTCGCTATATGCCATGTTTAGGATTTTTATATGGATTTATTTTATGGTTGTAATTACACTCATGGTCTTATGAAATTAAAATTAATTAAGAACCTATAGATAAATTCCTTATACTCCACCATGACTCCGTGGATTGTTGTTTTATTTGAGTGATGGTGAGAAAGAGTGTATAAAAAAAAGTGAGGATTATGAGATTTATTTGAATGCCTTAGGCTCGGCATTGTTATGTTTATTCTCATGTGTAAGATGTTGTGTATATATATATTGTTGCATCATTCTCAGGGGTAGACGAGTGCTTTGATTTACGCGCGTGCGTATATACTAACCATCCGGGGAGTGTGAGTCAAACTCGGGACGATATCCCCGTGCAAGTTTGGCTTCGGAGCGGTGTTAGGTATACGGGAGGCACATGGGATATATGTGTAGGCCAGAAGGAGAGGGCCGAAGTGGTGGAGTTAAGGAACAAAGAATTTAATTATGAATTTATTAGTATAGTGTGTATGGTACTGTGATGTACATGATAAAAAAAAAAGAAGTAAACGATCTTGATAAATTATGAAATTTGAGGAGAGGCATGTATACGTGATTTTGGATAACTCTTGTGTTATAGCTTTTTATTAAAAAGATCGATTAGAACTTATAATCGGATGACCTTGGTTATTGTCGGTTTGATTCACTTTGGTAATGCAGATTTTATAGGCTGTTTTAACCACGAAACGAGTTCATTTTTATTGGTTTCGCATAAACTGAAGTAAAACATTATTCTGCACACTTTTCATGTTTTGAACTTTTTCGGAAAAATCATCTTATGGCAGTTTTGTTCGTTTTCAGCTTCATATTTTTCGATTGAATTCTGTCTAGATTTTTAGATCAAGTTTTTCTCTTAACTTGTTCAGTTTCTTTTAAATTTGTTCACGTTGTCTTTTAGGAAATTTGATTTTGTACAACTTTCGGTCTTTGAGTTTTGATCAATTCGAATTATTTAAGTATGAAACGGTGTAATTTTATATTTGTTTCAACAAGTTACTTATGATTAAATTATACTAACTTTATTTGTTTTGCAGGATGGTGGGTCTTACTAACTTTTTATGCAAGGCTGACCCACCATATTTTTATTTCTATATTGTCTATTCTATAATCAATTTATATTTCGTTGTATATGGACAAGAAACTAAATGCCATCGTATCTCGGGAAACTACTCATTTGTCTCGGTGCGGTTGGAACTACTTGTCTTGTCCCGTGATAAGAAATAATGTACTTTTTGTTTGTGTCTGGTGGACACGTGGGTGTCAATTCTTGTACTCATACCAGTATACTTGTATACTGACCCGTTTTGTCTCTTAGCAACTCGGGTGCGTTCTGTTTGAGCGCAGCTGAGCTTCCTTTGCAGGATTAGTTGAGGCTACAGTGGTGACGAGAAGTAACTATAGTTTTTGGGCATATCTCTTAGATTTCTTTTGTTTTCTTGAGCTTAGGGTTGTAATAGTTTATGTTTTTATTTATTTTTATGACTTTAGTATTGGAATAATTTGGCATGGTTTGTAACCATACTTTATTTAAGTTGTTTGGACTAGTTGTTGCTACTTTAATGTTGGAGGTATTTGTTAGTTATGAATTTATGGTGGATGGTTTTTTTTGTTTCACCCATAGGATTTGGATGATGGAATATTAATTGGGGTTTAGTCCTAATTTAATATTTAATTGTTCAAATTTTGGGGCGTGACATTGGAGGTGTTAGTATCATTTTTAACTTCGTTTGTTTGAATAAAGTCAAAATTTTCTCCTTCTCCCCATGTGCCAAATAATTCGGGATCAATTGGCTTTTCTGTCTTTCTTTTTTTTTTTTTTTTTTTTTTTGGTATATCTTGATCTAATGTTTCTTCAGACGAAGATGATTGGCTGTTATTATCATTAGTTGACATATTAATATCATAATTAAAGTGCAGTAAAAGGTTTCTCTCCCCATGTGCCAAATAATTCGGGATCAATTGGCTCTTCTGCCTTTCTTTTCCCTTTATTTATTTCCGATGAAATGTCTTGATCTATTGTTTCTTCAGACGAAGATGATTGGCTGTTATCATCATTAGTTGACATATTAATATCATAATTAAAGTGCAGTAAAAGGTTTCATGTTCTAGATAAGTTTCTTTTATCTGGTCTAGTAGCCTATTTCTTTCATCAATACCTAAATCTGGGTCTTTAGATAATTTTCTTCAATAATCCAATATTTCAACAATATTTTCATATTCAGTCCTATTATAGGTATTGGTTTGAAGTACTATAATATCTTTTGTACCATAAAATAGCCTAGGAGTGTAATTATCTCCTGGACTATTCATTCCATCATTATTTATGAAGGATATAGTTTTTAACTTTGTCACCAAATTGTTTATTTGTTTTTTTGCGTCTTTGTTTGAGTCAATATTTATTATAGAACCCAAATTGTCTATTTTAGATTCTATAGACTCAACTTTGGTTTCTAGATAATTTTGATTTATTTTTATCTAATTTAGAAAACTAAGAACACATAATATCTATAATATTATTTAAACTACAATGCACACTATTTATATTTGCAGACTCTTTAGTAATGTGTAAACTATGGCTATATTTATTATTAATATTATTTTTTGTATTTCCAAAGCATATTATATCTTTAGGGTTAATTGCCATTATAAATTATTGTTGGTACCTAAGACCTTCCTAATGTATTAATCCAATGCCTAAAATCTCTTTTCATGATCTTAAAGACTTAATTATGGCCAATAGTCAAAAGATCTTAATGAGTATATGGGTTTTGACATACACTAAGCATATAGGTTTTACAACAACTAGGAATAAAATAAATATTTATAAAGATACAAAATACAAAGGATACACAATTAAAAACTTTAGACGAAATTTTTATTTTTTATTTTTTATAATATAAAGCACACCATACACACTTGTATGTATCAAAAATTTAGACATAGAGAGAAATACTTACATAGCTTGATCTTACTTTCAAAAGCTCTTTACCAGGCTCTGATACCAATTACAAACACAAAACGAAAATGAACTTTTTACTATTTTTTATTATGGAATTATGATGAAATTATGGAATTAGCGATGAAGTAGGCAAAATGAGAAGTTTAGGCAACGAAGATGGAAATAATTTACATTGTATATTACGTTGACTTTAAAGCCAATTTATAGACTGCAACTCACATATACAAACAAAAAATCAACAAGCCTAACCATAGACTTTTTTGATTTTCCAAAGGCTACAGAAAAAAAACTACATAATAAATACATTAGACACAAAAAGTCTAAGCAACAATAATGACAATGACTTTTTTAATTCATATCTTTTGATAATCTTCTACAATTTTTTACAATTATATACACTTCTACAATTATATGCACATGTTTTTAAGCCATCATTTCTTTTCTCACCTTAAAAAGAACAAATCCTCAATGGTAATTCATTCATCTACAAAGCAGTATACAGAGAGAGAGAGAGAGAGAGAGAGAGAGAGAGAGAGTACCATTAATAACATTTTCATTAGTTTCATCAAAGATTTAAATACCCGTTGCCTGTCTTAAAAAAGCCATCCATGGTACAACTATACAGTAACCAAAATACAAATGCCGATTTAAAAAATTACAGTCAGTAAACCATTGGTCATGTTGGATGCCTGTGAGCATGGTTTTAAATAACATTATCGGTGATATAGTCATATATGGCCAATATCAGATAGTATCCGGCCGATATTTAAAACCCTTCTTGTGAGGTTCACAAAATGAAGATCACCCTCTCTGTTCACTATGTACAACAATTGAATTTCAAACCTCCTATGTAATGAACCTGTGAAGTGAATACAGGCTCATTGCACCCGGAAACACTGTACACGGCTGACCACACATAAAAAGCTGCCCCCTTTGAGATTGTTTCTTGCAAACAATTGGCGATTTTGCTCCAAATTTACTAGTAACATACATGGATTTGGTACAACTCCACAAGCTTTCCGAAAAATGTTCTGCTTCTTTCAACACCATCCGACTTCTCTTGCTAGAGGCAGCTGATCCTTTTTGATAATTTACTAAACTAGGTATACGTGACAGATCAGAACAAGAGGAATTCGCATCTTGATTCTGATAAATTTTCTCTAAACTCTCTACCACCGGCATCTCATCCTTTGTATCATCATTCTTGACGGTACCCCATAATCTATTTGCTTCTCCGGCTAATCCAGTGGCATGCCACGCTTCCGCAACCAGCTTGAAAGTGGATTTCTCAGGCTGAACTTTAAAACCCTCCATGAGATCAAGCACTTCTTCAGCTTTCCATGGCTGCTTTGTTTCCGCATATCCCCAAATCAAAGTTTCGAAAGTCTTCAAATTGGGAGATGTTCCAGATTCACACATCTTTTCAAAAACCCTAATTGCATACTCCATTTTCCCGGCATTGCACCATCCGCTGATGACAGTCGTGAAGATCACTACATTTGGGCGGATGCCAGATTTGGCCATGCTGGTCAGGAGTTCCTCTGCCTTTTCAGGTTCGCGTGCACGAACGTAACCTTTAGCGAGAATGCTGTATGCGTGGGTGTCGGGTTCTATGCCAGCCTTCACCATGTCATCGAAGATTTCCCGACACTTGTCCATAAATCCTGCAGCGCTCCATGCGTTCATGATGGTGCTAAAAGTTATCACGTCTGGTTTGACTCCAAATTCTTCCATCATTGTCAGAACCTGTCAGAAAAAGTACTTTTTTCACAATTCTGAAGTGCAGAATCAAATGGTATGGGGAAAATACAAGTTTCTTCAAGCTCTAGAGGAGGAAAAAAAAGATACATAAAAACTTAACAAGATTTCTTAAATTTTCACTAATAAATGCATACATTATAATGCTAAAAATATTAGCAAAATTATAGTTCAAGGTCTATATACTTTTAACAAGATTTCTTAATACTTTATTAGTAAATATATACATTATTATGCTATAGAAGCACTCAAGAAGAGATGAAACTTGTGATATGAGGACTCAAGTTGAGTTCTATTGTAGATACATAAAAACATACATAGGATAGGACTAATTGAAAATCAATAATTAAAATAAAATAAATAAAACAAACATAAACCAACAACTAACCTCATCGACCCCATCTCTATCAGCCATGTCTAAAAATCCCTTGATTAGTGAATTGAAAACAACAAGATTAGGACAAAATCCAAGCTCCTTCATCGTGTACACAAACCTCAAAGCATCTTTTATTTTACCTTCTTTGCAATAACCGCCTATGATAATCGCACAAGTTCGTTCATTCGGCTGCACATTATGGTTATGCATCTCTAAAATCATACTTTCAGCCTGACCTGTTTCTCCGTTTTGAGCATAAGCCGTTGCTATCGTGTTGTAAGTAACAGCATCAGGTTGCAAACCTGAAGCTACCATCTTATATACCACATTCCAAGCCTCTGTAACGTTTTTGTTACACCATGCTCTCACAAGTACATTGTAAGTCCTCAGATTGGGTTTCACATTTTCCTTTTGGAACATTACTTCTAGAACTTTCACAGATTCTTCGGGTTTACCAGCAATCCCGTACCCCTTAATTAACGTGTTGAAAGTGCTAGTAGTAGGTTTATATCCACTCTCCTTCATCTTCTGGAAGGCTTTCATGGCTTCCTCCATGTTCCCGGATTCAGAAAAAGCATTGATAACAGCATTAAAGAAGACCGAGTCTGGACTCATCCCATTTTTCTCCACTTGAGAGATAATTGAATGTATGGAATTGAAGTGTTTCTGGTAGGTCAAAGCGGCTAAGAGGGTTGTGTACGTTATCAGGGACGGTCTGTGCCCTCCTTCAATCAAGCTATTGAAAATAGTCTGGGCTTCCTGGGGCTTCCCTCTTTCTATTAGAATGTTCATTAGTTTTGTTCTTGAGCGAACAGTGCGGCAACTAATATTGCTAATGCAAGAGCAGCAAAGGGTACACTCTGGCATTGGATACAATTGAATCTTATCATCTGCAGTTTTCCCCTGCAAAAGTTCAAAATTGTCACCATGTTAATCATTGCTTCCTTATTTAAAACCTATTTAAACCCTTTTAAATTGTTTTACCATGCATAAATTCCGAATACTACCTCGCTAATCTATATTCCTTCAAAGGACCATCCTCATTGCAGTTATGGTACTGGTCATATTAATATCCCATTTCTTCAATAGGAAAACAAAAAAAAAAAAGAAATCTCATTTTATTTATTTTTATTTTTAAGTGCAAAGGAGAGAACAGATACACAAGATACAAGAAATTAGTTGGTCTTATTGATATATATAATAAATATTCCTGGAATGATGAGATGTTTCATCTCCGCTCACCCAGTATGGTATCAGTTTTGGTTCTTCAACTCAAACCAGGCCACAAATTTGAAAGGGCGGCACTAAAATTTTGCAGCCCATATAAACAAATAAATAAATTGATGTAAACACGGTTATATATACCTTGAGTGGCAATGCCTGAACCCATTCTTTGTTAGTGACTTCGGTTCTTTCTTGATGCTTGCTGATGGTCCTAGAATAAGCCCTCTCTTTGTTAGACTCTCCCATTTGGACTTCTTTAACTTTCTTTACTCTCTCTGTGCCAATTTGAATGTCTTGATTTGCCATAACTTTACAGTTACCACACCAGTTTCACAATCCTCTCAGGAATTTCCTATGAGAACATCCAAAAATCAGCAAGATTGTGAAACTAATAGATATATTTGTCACAAACACTAAAGCCAACTGTGCAGGGAAAAAGATCTCACAAAAGCATAACTTGACAGGAGGAGTAATATACTTGCAAAGAGATAAGCCGTATTGGAGTCTAATAGAAAATTTGAAACAACGCGAGGAAATATATCCCCATCTCGGGTAAGGAAGGAAAATGAATATAACAAACTTCATCATATAGAAATAAATGATGGCTAACAATTTGTTAAAACTAAATTTCAAATTCGCGCAAATCAAACATGACGCAAGGCAATTCAACAGTAAACAATTAAAACCAATGTGAAAATTGTAAGTTCCTAGATCAAGAGAGATGTGGAATCCATATTTGAACTATGAAGAAAATAACTATTTGTCGTATATTCAACTCTAGCATTTGGAAAGGTTAAAGAGCCCTCACAGGGAAAGAAGAAAATTGGGGTTTTTAGAAATAGTTATTTTCTTCATACCCAAATTCAAGTGGTAACACAACTATACATGTCCAAGTGTTCAGAAAATCTAACATATAACTAAAATAATGAAAAATTTAAAAACTGATTGTGATACATAACCAGTGATGCCCATCTGGGTAGATGATTTAGAATCCATCAAAATGCTTGATGACATGAAAATCCAATTCCAATACAGGGTAATATTCAATAATTCAACAAACAAACAAATTGTCCAACAGTACACCTTAGTTATCAATCAAACAATCAACATTCCATTCCATCAAACAAAAAAAAAACCCAATTTTCAAGTGATTCAGACATCAAGAAATTCATCAATAAATGGAATATAAGCTTGAATTAAAACACAATTTCTCAAGTTCAAGCGAAACTAGCCCCAAACATCAAATGCCAAGACAAGAAGGAAGGGGAAAAAAACGACCAAACAAATTAATACCCATTTCCAAGAAAAAGAGACTGAGAAAAAAAAAAAAATACTCAAAACGCATCCTTGATGAAGAAGAAGAAGCAAAGCGTTGGTACCTTTTGAGCATAGTCAGTTCTTGCAATTGCAGAGAGAGAGAGATAGAGAAAGAGGGGATGGGCTTTGGCAATGAATTTGTAAGGTTTGGAAAGTGGTGTAAAGTCCGTCTCGCGACATCCATTGCGAAAATCTTATCCACAGATATCCTTCGATTTCTTAATCTAAATTTTTTAATTTTTTGATTTAAAAAAAAATAACCTTAGCATATATTAACTTTTCTCAACTCCTAAGTCTTACTTTCATAATAATACTTTAATGCATTAAGAACAAGCATAAAATAAATTCTTTGAAACTCAACACATATGAATTACTTAAAAAGTCCCAACACATATGATTATTATCCCTCATAATAATACTTTAATGCATTAAGAACAAGTATAAAAAAAATTTCTTGAAAAGTTTAACACATATGATTATTATCAAAATATTAAAATTTAATATAATATAATAAAAAAAAAGACATTTAATTTCTTGAAAAGTCCAACACATATGATTATTATTAAAATATTAAAATTTAATATAATATAAAAAAAAAAAGACATTTAAAAATATATATATATATATATATATTTAAAAATTACAATTTACATATATAAATAATTATAAACATAATTCGTGTATAGCACGAGTGATATGCTAGTTACAAAGAAATACAAAGTAGGGATGAGATTTGTCAGCCAATCTTTTATGCCAAATGGATAGTTTTCATAGACCTAGGTCCTAGGCTAAAATTTCACTCCTTCCTTCCAACTATTCAAAATGAATAAAAAATTATACACCAATTGTTAACAAAAATTGATCTAACATTCCTCTTAAATTTTTAGTAATAAAAGGGTGTCACAATAATGTAATTGTAGAGGGCCCAAATTCTGTGGCTCAAATGTGGCTCAAATAGCCAAAACGACGTCGTTTTGAGTACAAAACAACATCAAAATGGCCAAAACGTCGTTTTGGCCATTTGAGCCACATTTGAGCCACAGAATTAGGGCCCCCAAACATTTTTCTTTTTTTTTAGTCTAAAGTCTTTCACCTACACCTACATCCATATATAACACCCATTCTCTCATTCTCTTTCCTATCTTTTCTTACAACAAACAACTCCTCTCTCTCCTCTTCGTTCACAGCATTGTTCAAAGTTTCATTGGCAATGACTACAACGGAGGAATTCGCACTAACAAGATTTATAAAGCTTTGTCGATGGAGATCGTCGATTTATATGAAGATTCCTGATAGTGCTTTATACAGCAAGATTTATATGAAATAGAGCACTAATCCTCATTATTGTTCCTCCGATACCAATAAAGATTCCTCCGTCGACAAATATCACTACCATCGGAGGACAAATATCAAAAAGCAGAGCGCTAGTAAGATTTATAAAGTATTATAGCAGATATGAAAGCAGAAACTAAATGTATCAGTTACATATCCACAAGCACAACTGTAAACAAACATGGAGAAATTTATGAACAAAGTCAGAGGAATTCTCTATGAATAGAGCTAGAAAAATTTCAATTCTATGTGAACAAAGCCAAAAAAATTTGTGAACAAAGCTGGGACCATGAATTTGTTTAGTAACTTGCTACTGTGGATCTTGGACGGGGCTTCATCTAAAGGGTTCAACTCATTTCTTTCGACGTTTAGAGATGTGCGAGATCAAGGCGGCCAAGTTTGTCTAGATCTAGCTAGGTAGGAAAATCATACAATACAAAAATGCTCATTAAGGATTGGAATGTTGGTTGGTCCTTGTATTTTTTAAATGTTTAATTCTAATGTCATTGTAAAAGGTTTCGTAGAAATATTAATTTATACATAAATGGTTACATAAACTAGACATGGAGTAATGGTCAATAACAACAGTATTGTTAATAAACAACAGTTGAAATAAGAAAAGGAAAAGAAAAAAAATTTCTCTAGTTTGAACTCAGAGAAATTTTGCTTGTGTTTGGTAGTATTTTCTAAATATAATTTGAGAATAGAGTTGTATTTTGAGTTTGTGAGTTTTGGAATTATGATTTGAGTGTGAAAAATTTGTTTGGTTAATGAGTTTTGAATTGGGTGGAAAAAGTTTTATGTGACATATGATATTTGATATAAAAACTTACAACTCATGACCAAACACATAACTCAAAATTCAATTAAAACTCATAAATTTTTTTAAAAAATTCAAAAAATATTTTTTATTGAATATATAAAAATTAACATGTGTCAATTGCAAAAATAAATAAATAAAATATTACACTGTTTCGGTCAACCGGCCGAACAACTGTTGGGACGTCCGGTAGGTTGACCGGTTAGCCTAAATTTTTCTGCATTTGACTGCGTTTTCAAAAGTAAGTGTGAAATTAATTTTTAAAAATCGTAAACAAACACTATGCTCAAATCAAGATCTGGAACTAACGTTCCAAAGCTCTACTAAACAGAGCCTTCAATTTTTTCTGGTTTGAACCTAGAGAAATTAGGTGTACGTGATGTATAAAATTTTCTCTGTGATGTGTCTAGAAAAATTTGGTGTTGGAGATGTGTAAAATTTCTCTATGATGTATCCAGAGAAATTTGGTATGGGTGATGTGTAAAATTTTCTTTGTGATATATCCAAAGAAATTTAAAATTTTCTCTGTGATATGTCTAAAAAAATTCTTTAGATTGAATTTTCTTTAAATCGATGTTGAGGGACCTTAGACATTATAAAAATATTGAAAATCATTTATGTTATAAAATCTTAATATTAGGGATCTTAAAAAAAAAATCTCCCAATTGTTAACAAGTGCTTTTTTAGGCATTATTTATTGTTAAGAAATATGTAAAAAAAAATTAATTTGCTTAAATTCATATGGATGGTAAATGAGAGGCCATTTAACTCAACCTAAACTAATCTGCGAGCATCCCTGACAAAAAGTCTCTTGAAAATATATGAAAATGTTAAAAAATGTATTATTTTTAATAAAAATGCAATGAATTTAATAAAAAATATTTTGTGTTCTTTAATTTTTTTTTAAATTTTACTTTTGCCCTAAAGCATAAATAAATAAACAAATTACACTCATTTTTCTTTAAATTTGAAGAAAAAATAATTAGTTTTACACATTTAACATAATTATATTAATTTCTTTTAAAGTTTCAATTTATACTATAGTTGGGGTAAATTACACTAACTTCTCTTAATTTTTTTTAAAAAATACAACAAGTCTCATAATTTTGACATAATTACACTCATCTCCTTAAGTTTTTAATTCACATAACACTTTAATTAAATTTTCATCAATAATTTATTAGTTATATGAATAAAAAATAATTTTCTCATCTTTTTTACATACAAATATATATTTTACTTTCACGTCATTTGTCTTAGTTTCGGTTCATTTAACCATAATAAAAAGGAAGTCAATGTAATTATATCAAAAATTATGAGGCTTATTCTATTTTCTTTAAATCTTAAGAGAGGTCCGTATAATTTGCCCACATAGTTAAGTCACTTTTCATCAATACTTCTTTAGATGCATAAATAAAAAAAAAATTAAAATTATCATATATTTTTAATTAAAATGTATATTTATCTTTATTTATTTCAGTATATATTCATAATTTGCATTAGTTTAAATCATTTTAGTCATACTAAAAGCAAGATTGACGTAACTATATAAAAAAGCATAAAAATCGTTGTATTTTTTACAAATCTTAAGGGTAATAAATGTAATTTATACTAAAATTTGAACTATGCACTTGGAATTTTGACACAATTAAATTCGACGCCTTCATTATCTAATTAAATTATGCACGTTCCATTTTAGATCAATATCTTACTGATCTAATAAGTTTCAAGTTTTTTATTTCTTTTGAAAAATGAATAAATTGTGATTATTGGTATAATTTAACTCTATAATCATAATTTTTATTATTTTTAAGTTTTATAATTTGTATTTTTTCTTTGTGTGTGTAGATTTGATTTTTGATTGTGAGTTTTGATTTGTAAAAATTGTGAACTCTGATATAACAACTAATTGAGTTTTTAGTAAAAAATTTGATGGGGGTAAAAATGATTTTGCAAAACTTATAGTTAAATTTGACACAAAATTTCACTTTATCAATTTTTTTTTTTTTCCCCAAATGAATTTAGTTTATCATTGAAGAAGAGTTTTTGTGATATCTAATTATTTTTTGACTTCGACAAACTTTACATTTGCCTTTTGAATTATAAATTTTAATACTTAACCCATTAAATTATTAAAATTATTTTATTATGCCCTAAATTGTTATATTTTTGTGACAATTAGGCCAATTTCTCATTTTACCTTTAAAAAAATGTATGATTTATTTTTAAAAATACACTTCTCATCTATTTTTTAGAGATAAAAATGATAAAATAAACGAGTTACAGATCAATCTATTTTTTTAGTTTATGAACGATATATTATAGTGTTTGGGAAGTTAGTTTTTAGGTTTTATTTTTTTATTTTTTTTTCACTAAAAGACAAATTAGTTACAAAACCAAAATAAATAAATTCAAACAAATATCACATCAAATTTCATAATCATTTCACTTTTTCTCTTACGAACATTATATCAATCACAAAAAAACTCAATTATTTTTTCAAATACAATTTTTTTTCCCAATAATATCCTACACCTAAAAAAACATATAAAAAAAACTCATTTCCCAAACACACACAAAATGTTCTATAAAATAATTTAGGGGTGGACATCAAACCACCCAACCTGTCTAATCCGCTCAATTCAACCGAACTCACATTACAATCTCAGAAACAATCTGTAAACACTCCTAATTTAGATTATTAACATAAAATCTTTAATAACACTTACAAACTCAAATAACACCATCTAATCTAAATCAGTATGGGAGGTACGCCCAACCCTAATTATAAAAGGTTAAAAACTTATAAAATCACAAGTTGTCAGTTAAAACCTACCCAGTATTATGATTCACCCACTTCACATAAAAACTTCCCAAATAAAAAAACAGAAATCCTTGGTGGCTCAATGGCTTGAATTTATGTTCCCCCGTTAATTGTTCGGATGACCGGTCAAATGATTATTCGGATAACTGAAACATTTGTTCATCATTGTTATCCCCTTGTTGATTACAATGATCAATTTTTTTATCGATTGGTTGGTTGGTTGGTTAGACGACCAATAAAATAAGATTCAAATTATTCAAAACAAGTAACCAGAATATTAAAAAATAAAAAGAATCAGAGTATTAAATTATTTGAAACAAGTAACCAGAATAAAATTTGAAATATTTAGCATTGCTTATAAAAATAAAAAAATACATAACAATTTGCTAAATCATAATTAAAAAAACCAGAATATTCAACTAAGCTATCATCAATCAAGACATTATAAAAAAGGCCATAAAGCTCCCAGAATTCTTTTTTTTTCTCTCTCTCTCTCTCTCTCTCTCTCCCCCCAATTCCACAAATTGGATGATGTTGAAACTATGGAAATGGTATCAGAATTGCTTGGCAGTGCATCCCGTTAAGACCCAGATCATCAGCTCAGGAATTATTTGGGGATGCGGCGATATTGCTGCTCAAACCGTCACTCATTATTCTACTGCCAAGAAAACACTTCAAATTTCCGTAAGTACCCATCAATAAATTCCCACAAAACTCACTTCTTTACATCTATATATGTCCATATATATATATGTTTCTTGACCTAATTCTGTGTTTGAGCATAATGGGTATCGCTAATTTTCTCTCTTTCTTTTGTTTTCTTTCACTTTTTCCTTTATTCATTTGTGCTGGTGAAGGGGTTATTTTGATGTCCATTTATCGTTTGGTCTAATGGGTTTCTCTAATCTTCTCTTTATTGGGTCTTGCGATTGTTTTCTCTCTTTATTGGATGATTCATTTGTGCCCTACCTAAAATTGGATGTAGTTGATGTGAGCAATCCCCTCTGTTTAGACATGGGTTTGTCCTCATGACATCTCTGTCTATCTCTATCACACACATATTTTTTTTACATTGTTGCTTGATTTATATAATCATTGAAAGCTATACCTCACTGCTTTTGATCATTTGGCATAGGTAAGCATGGTGATGAATGACTGGAAGGCCCAATCCTTGGAGGGAGATTAGGTTATGGGGATTGTATTTGGATTAGCCATAACCTTCTTCTTAACTAAAAATCCCTAGTATCATGTTAATTTTGGTAACCCCCAACCCCTCTCTTTTGTTGGGTGGGCGGAGGGCAGAGGGGGATGTGTTTGGCAGCTCCTGCCTTTTAAAAGAAAAAAGAAAAATTAAACATATTTTATCTTATCTATGCTTTATATACTTGTTTTTCAAAAAATTCACATAAGCAGCTAAGTAGAAATTTGTTTTCTTTCCCAAGTGAAATAGTCCCATTGCATGAAGTGATGGATTGGTTCTTATCATATACATAAAACAATCTGCAGCTATAATTAATGCTGCTCGTGCTCGATGATGGCTTGCATTGCTTTGCTTGTTGCCGTTTTGACTAATTCTGTGATTTTACTTGTTCTTTACATTCTAGACGTTGTATCCTCAGTCCACTTGTTGCGTTTGGTATTCTCAAACCTTTTTGACCACTTATTATAGAATGCCAAACTGATGAGTCAACACTGCTGGGTGTTGTGGTGTGAGACTTAACATCTTACATTGCCCTTTATATATATTTTAAATAATGAATTTGACTGAAAGATTTCAAACCATTGACATCTCCAACTTTCTGTTGGGTTCTAAGGATCTCTTTGTATACAGATTACAGAGTTTTCAGGTTATCCAATAGATTTACCTTGTAACCCTTTGCTCCTGGTATGTTTAGAAGATGAGTCACTGATATCCAATCTGTTACTTTTTGACAACTTTCATAGGGTGTACTGGTTTCCATGCTTACATTACATACAATCCTATTAGGGATTTTTAATTGTACTACTATTTCCTAAAACATGGATGCAGCCAATAAGATGCTAAAGAAGTATTTCTTTTTATTGTTTTCTTCTTTGTGATTATTATTTTTGAGTGATCTGGTGCTGAAACAACTGTCAAGGTGCTCATATTGGCTCAGTTGGACTTAAAGCTTTGGCAGTATAAGAAAACTGATTCATGGTGTTTGACAGGAATTCTTTTTAATGTTTTGGGAATTGTAGAAAGACCTTTATGCTTCTGCACAATCTAGATCAGCAGACCTGGGATTACGGATGAATGTTTGAGTTGGGATTGGTCTTTCAAATTCTTGAATTTCTTTTATGTAGCAGTATTCCTGTTTCTATGTTAATATATTTTCTCAATATTTTTTTGTTTGTTCTTGTTATGTCAGTTATATATAATTACAAAAAAAATTGGCATTCATTTATTAAAAATAAAATAAAATATGACATTCATGGACTTTTTATTTTTTTATCATATGATGAGAAATGTTTTCTTTGTTCGTATTACCAGGCTGGACGGTTACCCACTTGACTGTCGATCAGTTCCTTTGATTTATAGAATGATTATCTATCATTAATATGACAGGATAAAGATGAAGAATTAAAACTCAATTGGAGACGAGTAGCTACCACAAGCTTATTTGGGTTTGGATTTGTTGGACCAGTTGGCCACTTCTGGTTAGTGTTTCTTCTTCATTTTTAATTTTTACAATTGATTTGCCCTTGGACCAAGGTTTTAAAAAGCGGCCGCAACCGTTACGTAACGCCGTTACGTAACAGTTTTGGCGGTTATCGCCACCTGTTACGGCCGCTTTTGCAGTGTGATTGAGATTCACAGGTGTGTCGGCCGTAGCAGCTGCCATAGCGGTCGTAACGGTGCCGTAACAGCCGTAACGGCCTGTTACGCACCGTTACATAACGGTTCCAAACTGTTTGTTGAGAAAAAACACACAAAAAAAAAACTGAAAATGGGGAAAGAGGGATAGATAGAAGAGAGAAGATAAAGAGAGAAAATAAAGAAGCAAGAGATAGAGAGAGAAGAGGGAAGAGGGAAGATGAAGGACATGTTATTGATTTGTTGAAGTTGTAAGACCTATGCTATTCTATTCAGCTGCTATCACTAAACTATTTTGTTTGTGTGTGTCTATCTATATATTGTTTGAAAATAATAATAATAATAAGTGTGGTCATTATGTATTTGGCTTGGTTAAAAAATATATATATATATATATATATATATATTTACGCTTTTATTTATTCTCTTACTTTTGTTATTGTTTATCTTATATATAATAGTTAGTGATTGATTTTTTGTATAATATAAAGTTATTAATTATTAAAATAAAATGTAAAAAACTCAATTTATAGTGATTTAAAAATATGAAATATGTTGGATTATACTTGAAAATTTATAAAAATTGATCAATATTTATTTTTAACCCAATAAATATGATTATGGAAAAAAAATATGCGTATCGGTAAGTTTTTTTCAAATTGTGCGAAAAATAAAAATATTCACGGTTCCGGTTACCGCAACCGTTACACTACGGCCTTTACACCCCGCAACCGCAACCACGTCCACGTCACCGCCGTAACGGTGACGTCCACGACCGCAACCGCTTTTCAGAACCTTGCCTTGGACTTTAAGTTTGGGAAGCTTTTCGTTGTGGGTTAGTATGGGCTTCCCTAGAGTCACTAGGAAAAGCGTTTTAAAATCGTAGATTTTCTAGATAAGTAATTCCCTTTTGAAATACTTATCCTTTCCTCTCCTCTAATCTCATCCTCTCAATATGCACCTTGTACAAGGTTTCTAAGAACTCCATCATCTCCCAACCTCCCAAACATACAAAGATCTTTGGAGAACCACATCCCAAACCACCACTTCCCTTATGCATCACTATACCAAACACCAGAGGGAATGCCCTGTTTACAGGGCATATCATCACACTAAACATTGAACCCCAACTAAACCCTATTCCCATTTCTCACCACAAAATGAATGTTTTTCACAAATTCATCCCAACCCTTTCTTATTCCTTTCTGGACCACCACTCCATATGAAGAAGTTACCTCCATGGTGGTCCAATCTCTGCAAGGCTTCCCATATTTAACTGCCACTATTCTTCTCCATAGTCTCTCGCTTTCCAGAGCATACCTTTGTGACCACTTCCCTAATAAAACTGCACTTGGCATTGCCTTTATGTCTTGAATTTGTTCGTTTGCCTCTTAACAATGACAAAAAGTACAATGATAATAACAATAGTAAGAATACTAATGAACTTCTAGGGAAAACGATGGCCTTGTAGAGAAATTGCTTGAATTTTCTTTTCTTTTATCTCTCTCTCTCTTAGCTCTCAAATCCAGTATTTTCTTTCCATCATTTTGTCATAGTGATGATAAGATAGCTACTCAAATGGTAACATGAAAGATAACATGGAAGAATTTCTTTTTTGCTGTGTTTGTTTGGGGCTGAAGTTGTTTTGTTTTGATTTTTTGTTGTTTGCTTTTTGTTTTTGTTTTATGTTCTCTGTATTGGTTGGGGGTGGGGGAGAGAATAGTCAACATGGAAGGAACTCTTGTTTTGTTTTTGTTTGCACTGAAGTTGTTTTGTTTTGATTTTTTGTTGTTTGCTTTTTGTTTTTGTTTTATGTTCTCTGTATTGGTTGGGGGTGGGGGAGAGAATAGTCAAGATGGAAGGAACTCTTGTTTTGTTTTTGTTTGTAGTTAAAGGTCCTTTTGCTTTTCTATTTTTTTTTTTTTTAATACTTATTTTCCTTCTTTATGGTTTTTGGGCCCAACTACGCATGTTGGAAGATGGTGATTTGGTTATGACAACTGCACCTGTGATAGAATTATTGAGGAGAAAGTTATACAATTATTGAGGAGCTTGTGTACAATTTAAAAAAACATCAAACAAATTAAAGAGTACTTTTTATCTCTGTGTCCCCTCCCTCTGTTTTGGATAATTTAAATAATTGAAAGTAAGTACTACGGTATTGGTACTAATTGTTATTTGTCTGGCATTGGAATCTTTAACTTGCTAAATGAAGTTCTTTGAAAAGTTATTTTGATCCTTGTAAGGTGGAAATGGCAGAAAAACCTGGAAATCTTGTGTAAGATATACTGCAGTTGATTATTGATGGATAGGGAAAAGGTTTTGATGCCCACCTTTTGTGCCTGAAAATTCTTCACGTGTCATCCATATAAGCATCAAAGAAACTTCAGAGGTCCTCGTGGATCTCTTGGTCACCTAGTTTCATCAAGTCTCCACCATATATGATTATTATAAAGCACTTTCACAAATTTAGCAATATGGTCCATCGCACTAGCCAATCTTCCAGAACTTCACTAACTTGAAGCCATTATATGTGTTACTGAAAGAAAGCTAACGGTTTGAACAGTTTTTGTTTTTTGATGATTATAGACGCCTCCATATCTTCACGTGAACCTGTGCATTTAAATATTATTCAACGGACTGGTTTAAATTCCATAATACCTAAACCAGTTGCCATTTTGTGTTTCTGTAGCTTAAAATGAAATCCAAACATATTGAATACAGTGAAATCCTCATCGTTACCATATTTATCCTGGATTTTTCAATAATTTGTATGTTACTTGTGTGATAATTAGCCTGTTGATTATTGCAAGTGATGTTTGACCACAAAATACATGGCGCCTTGGATTTCGTAGTTTGTTAACCAAAAACTTTGAACAGTCAGAAATAGGTAATTCTTAGTTTTCTATTGTTTTGGTTGTGTCTGCACAACTGGTCATGTTACAGTTTGTGTGTGGAACATACCATGTCAAGTGTTGAAACTTGAGGGCAACCCTAATTGGCCCTCCACATAGGGAGGTGGTATTTTGTGTAACTGGTACACTGAGGTGGTGTGTGGGGTATACACCACCTTAGTGTTCTGGTTACACAAAAAAATTTCTTCTACAAAGGAATGTCTTTATATCTGTGACTTTGGCAGAACTCCATTTTAAAATGTCATTACCAGGGTGGTAAAATTTATTTAGATCAAATTTTCTCCTACAGAACCATGTTTTTCTCCCTTGTAGGTATGAAGCTCTGGATAGGCTTATGAAGTCCCGACTTCAATTACAGCCGAAATCACTCCGATTCGTCGCTAGTAAAGTGATCATTGATGGGATCATTTTCGGGCCCTTGGATTTGCTCGTGTTTTTCACTTACATGGGTTTTTCTGCTGGAAAGAGCGCCACTCAAGTGAAGGAAGATGTGAAGAGGGACTTTGTCCCAGCCCTCATTTTGGAGGGTGCCATATGGCCGATTCTTCAGGTTGCAAATTTCCGATTCATCCCTGTGAGGTACCAACTCCTCTACGTAAACTTCTTCTGCTTGTTAGATAGCTGTTTCCTATCATGGGTTGAGCAACAACAAGATGCTGCTTGGAAACAATGGTTCAAATCTTTACCAACGACTATAAAGGAACAAGAAGGCCAAGGCGGGTAAATCTTTCTCGCCCAAACATTGTTTTTTTTTTTTTTTGGTCCCAAGGACTTGGTGACCGCGTTGGAAAATAGGTGTCGAAGAAAACTAAGATAATGTTATGTAAAATTTTGAAAAATGGCAACTTTTGAAATTGTTAGCAAGGTTATTTTTCTGGTTTTAACTTCAAATTTGAAGCGGCTAGCATTCAAGTGTTCTGAAACCATTTTGGAATAAAGATCTTCAGACTTTATGTGCTCCTTGGTGTTGAGATTTTGCTTTGCTTCTGTATCAAATCAATTGAATAATGTTTCAGACTTCCTTTTTATTTTTCCTTAGCTATTTTCTCTCTCTCTTTTTTTTTTTTTTTTTTTTGTATAAAAAATTTCAAACACAACGGTCTGTATTAATTGCTGCATATCCTTTTGAGACTGTAACAGAAGATAATGGTTTGACATTGGGGCATACAAAGCCATCAGTCAGATTGCATATGGGCAAAAAGAACCACAAGTGAAATTCAGAGTCATACACAACATTAGATGAAAATTAGTGTGAAACTGACCTAAGAGGTGAGAAAAAGGCAGCCTTGTTTGCTTGTTTGGTAACGTTTTCGTTTCCAAAAATTTTGATAATTAGAACCGAAACACGAATATTCATCTTGTTGGTGAATAATAGAAATCCTTCTTTGTTTTTTTGTGTGTGAATCTTCAGTTTGCATTTTCTGTATTTGTTGAAGAGTTTGATTTGCCACGTTTTTGATAAAAACCGACAACTAGCGATCAAAAAGCACACTGCATTTTCCTTTTAAATCTAAAGACACAAACAACTTCTGTACCAAAGCTTATGCATTAAACCAAACTAAAACCAGGCAATAAGCATTTATTGAACTTTCAGCTCAGATAAGACAAACTAACCAGATCTTATTATTACTGTTTCAAACACAGTCTATTTCAATGTACATCAGATTGTTTATTTCTCATCCAAACTTGGTGAACTGCAATTGGTTATCCTTCCAGCACAATCCAATCTCATCATTTATGTGAAGATTTCTTCGCACAACAAACAAAGACTTCCATTTGCAATTCATCCGAAAAGACTTGTTTGTATCAACATCGTAGACACTAATGCCCAAATTTTTATTTGAATTAAGGGTTTGCTGGAGACCTGGACTCATTTTGAGAATTACCTGCAACATCAGAAAATACCAGCTATTTCCTCAAGTCCCATTCGCCGGAGGTGGTGGTGGAGAAGGAGGAGGAGGAGGCAAGATCAGGTTTGCATCCTTTTATACAATCGTTGAAAAGCACAGGTTGTTTCAAGAGAGCACACCCTGCAGCTGTGAACTTTGTACTGCAACCACCATGATCAGCCTGAACAAAAATTACAGATAGCAATGTCAACACCGCCAATATTATCATTAATTTCACACTATTTGTGGCCATCTTTCTCACTCTCTCTAGAAAATAAAAATAAAAAATTATTGTTTTGAAAGCTGAAACATGTTGTCAAAAATTTATATGGCTTGAACATGCATGGGTAATCTCTTGGTTGTAGAATGGAAGGCCCATTTAATGCAGAAACATTTGTGTATTAAAAATTATTTACAATCTCATGTCATTTATTGAATCTTACCATTCGTGTTTACAATCTCATGTTCAAACAAAATATAATAAAGAAAATAGTGTCATCAATTCAATATGAGAAATTACATCTGTGTTTCCATGTATTATGCAACAAATTATGTGTACGTGTAAAATTTATTATATTTAAAAAATAGTAGAACAGCCGAACGAGAAATCACACAAGTATCAGTGAAATATTAGCTCTAATTGAGTATTTATCATGACCATAGTTATAGAACGAGAATAGACATTAATTGGCATGGGATCGAACATAATCCAAGAGAAATTACAAAAAAAACTCTAAGATTACACACTTGTCACAAATTAAATCTTACATTGTTAATTTTTTTAAAACTTTATAACAATCAAAATCCTCCCTCCATTTCCGTTAACTTGTCTATTTATTTGTACCTCTAGTTTTCGAGCCAAAATTTAAGAAAACAAGATTAAGCCTATTAATTTGCAACCTAAACAAGTGGCAAGCTATGTTAATAAAGGATTAACGTTCTTTTATTTATTTATTTATTTATTATTATTATTATTATTATTATTTTTGTAAATATGTTGGCAGCCCCATCCAAATTCTTACATAATTTAAATTTTTTTCCCCGCATGTTTTCAACTTCATCTAAAAACAGGAGAATATTTTTGAAGAAATATAATTTCATCTAAAATAATCATGAAGTACAAATTTGAGAAACTCTTGAAAAGGGGGTTATTTCATTATCATATTGAATCTTTGATATTTGGTTTAATCAAACACCTTCAATAGAATGCTAAATAACATTTTGCCTGGGTAATAGTATATATATAACTAAAACCATCAATATTTACCTTGCACCAAACATGTTATGGAAAGAACTTGGCAACTGGGAAGCAAATGTCCTCTCTTATGTCCTACTAAAACCAATAGATAGAAGCAAACAATTAAGACCCGAAAGATGAAGCAAGAAAATTTGAACTTGACAAAACCCTCTTCCTCCAGCACCCCCAGTAACCTGATTAAGAGCAAAATGTAAGCTTTCATCCATTCATATTATAGAGCCAGAAAGCTCAGCCGCACATTGACCCCCAAGAACTTCCATGACTGTCTTCATAAATTTGAGCATGGCAGGTGGTTGACAAACTTAGACAATGTTTGGACATAGCTTCATAAACATCCCATTGGATTAAATTCCATTGAGTCCAAATCTGTGCTTAAATAGAAGAAAGAACATATAAGAACATAAAGACTTTCTAGCTTGATTCAAGAAACTACAAAAATCCAGCTAGCTTCATATCATTCATTACCACATCCAACTTCACAGATAAGCCTGCTCTTCGATAGCCAGCAACCAACAAATCATAATTAGATCTCGTGAGCTTGAAAGAGCTTCTTATACATTCCAAAAACAATTCTAGTCTATCATAAGCTGCCTGCCTGAAGTACGAACAGATTACCTTGTCCACATCCTCTGGGCATTTAAAGGATATCCCTTGTCTCAACATCCTCCCAACAGAGTATTCAACATCGTCCAATCTATCCAACATAGCATACATCCTTATAATCCCAAGGTGCACTGGTGATAAAGTTTTTAGACCTTGACTGGATTTCATCAATGTAGTTAGCATCTCCTCCATCTCTTCCACTTTCCCAAGATCATAATACAACCCCACAAGCTTCTCAGCCATGATCCCATTAATCTTCCACCCACCATCCAGAATAAATTTCAAAAAATCTTTAATTTTGATGAGATTTCTCTGCTCACAAATCCCCCCAAGTACCATTTCCAATATGGGTACATTAGGTGTGATTCCTGATAACACCATTTCTTCATAAAAACTTTCAACAGCATCGTATTTTTTCAATTTGGCAAAACCGGAAATGAGAGATTTGTATGTCTGAAGATCAGCAGAAAACCCAGCAGTATTTCTGGCCGAGTACCAAGCTTGCATAGCCTTATCATTTCCCAAGTTTGCAAATGCCGAAATGAAAGCATTATAAGTCTCAGAATTGGGTTTGTAGCCATCTGAGTTCTCCATTACTTCATATAAGCTTAGTGCTGTTATCACATTAGCTGAAGACAAGCAAGTCAATATAAGTGCATTGAAAATGCCAGAGGTGGGTTCAATTCCATTGGCCTCCATTGAAGTAAACACTTGCATTGCAAGCGGAACATTTTTAATCTTTCCACACATAGATATGAGCTCAGAGTAACAACCAGGATTTCTTTCTTTATCTTTTAGTATTTTCTCTAATCTCCATTCCAACACCTGTCTAAATTAAGCAAACAGTTGTGTATTTGTTAACTTGGTTATATGAAATGTTGTATGACAGAGTTCTGCACACGAAGTTTCAGTTATTTACTCATTCATTATGTGAAAAAGATAACTTCACTTTCACATAAAAGTTCAAGGGAAAAAAACAAGATTGCTTATGAAATTCAAAAGTTGGGCATGCATGGGCTGTAAATACCACGAAAATTGATATTTTAAGCACATAAATTGCAATACTAACAACACTTGGCATTCATAATTAATAAGAAAAAAAAAAGAAAAAAACATTTCTAGAAACTAAATGTCGAATTCAATGTTTAATAAATTTGAACAAATTTTTTGACGCTGTGTGGTTGCTCTCTCAAGCACACACGGATCCCCTATCCCATTTCTTCCGTCCCTCAATCCCAGCCCCTTTGTACCACATGATACATAACAAATTCTCTTACATGGATCATGTGGTAGAGAGAGTGTTTGAGACGGGGATAGAGGACAATCCAAATGGAGGATTTGATCTCCTCTCAAGCTGAACAAGAACTGGAGCAGAAGAATGATTTATTATATGTAAGAAAATGATTTATTAAATGAACACTGTTGGCTAAACTAACTAAATTACAAAGATATGAATCATTATTATCCACTTCATTTTTTCCCCATCAAAATGAATTCAAAGAGCCAATTTACCTTATTACTTTTCTAACAAATCACCTATAGAGTAATACTATTATACCATTAGTTAGTATACCCATTTCAACATACCTAATAACATCAAATTTAATTAAAATTTTCTTTTTTCTTTTTGGCTGATACTCTGCTTCCACAACTTCACCAACCAATGCTATGTTTGAAAGACCAAAAATATATATTTTTAACAAATTCCTATCATTTTCTTCTCCTCCTTATTTTTTGGGTACATTGGAAATCTACCAACTAAATATTTTTTTCATCTCCTCTTTATTCTCCTCTTCATTACCCAACTAAATATAAGGGGAAAAATAGTTTACTGCACTTCATTTTCTTATCTTTCAACTTCTCTTTTCCATTCCCAATACAAATCCAAACAAAAAAATGTTTTTATTTTATTTTATTTTATTTTTTATTTTTTTAAAATTTATCTACAAATTCCTATCATTTTCTTCTCCTATTTAAAACCCAACCAAATATAGCGAAAAAGAAAATTTCAATTTGCCTTCATTTTCTTATCTTTTCTCTTTTACTTTCCTTCCTCAAACAAATCCAAACAAAAATGTTATTTTCTTTTTGACAAATTCCTATCATTTCCATCTACTCTTTATAACCCAACTAAATGTAATGGGAAAAAAAATATATTTTACTTTACGCAACTTCATTTTCTTATCTTTTCTCTTTTCCTTTTCCTTTACCCAGACAAATCAAAAATATCCCAACACAGCCTACAGACACAGAGACAATGGGTCGAAATCAAATTGTACAAATGGATTGAGATTCAAATTATATGTGTGTGTGTGTGTGTGAGAGAGAGAGAGAGAGAGAGAGAGAGAGAGAGAGAGTAGCAATTACCAGCCGAGCTTTGTGAGGAGAGGAAGAGAAGAGAGAGTCGAGAAGGGCATCCCATGAAAAGTCGAAGCTTTTGAGTGTCAAATCGTTGTCCTCCTCGGCATCGAGTGTAGCTTTGATGCGTGAGTTTGGTGCTTCAATCAATCTCGTGACCAGAGACGAGCTCGACGAATTGCTGTGGAATCGAATCAGACCACAACAGTTCTTCCATGGAATTGGCAGAAACGATTGGGGTCGACGACTCAACCACAGTCCCTTTCTCGCCACCACTGATACAAAAACCCTAGTTCTACAAACCAACGCCATTTTCTTTCTCTGTTTCTTTCTTTGTTCCAACTTCTGTTTTCTTTTCAATTCAACAAGAATTTGTGATATAGGGAGTGTTTGGTTGCAGCGATTTGGCTATACGGACCACAGTTTTCCAGTTTCCAATATATATATATATATATATATTTTTTTTTTCCTCTCTCTCTTGATCGGCATATAAAACTTTTAGGGTGTGTTTGTTTAGATGGACTGGATAAAAAAAAGATTGTAATCATCGAACTATTAGTCCTGTGATATATTGTCTTCGGACTATTTGATTTGACTGGATTTGTATCCTATATTTGTTTAGTCGTAGAATTAGATGTCTGGATTTGACTATTTTTAGTGAATCCAATGTTTGTTTAGGATATTATGGAGAGGGATAAATGCTTAAATAACTATTTTATCCTTTTCAATTATTTACTAAGTAATAGTAATATTAAACATAACTTTAATATTTTAATTATTTTTAGCTAGATTAAATAAAAATTTATTTTATTTTATTTTTGTGAAAAATTAAATAAATATTTTAAAAAAAATTAAATATCAATAAAAAATATATGTTACTTTTAATTAAAATTTAAATAAATTCTTATTTTAAATAAAATAATTAATAATGAAATAAAATAAAAACATCTATTAAAATTTAAAATAATGAAACTTAAATAAAATATAAACAAAATTTTAAAATAATAAATATAATAAAAAATTATTTTAAAAAATTTTTAAATAAAACATCAATAAAAAATTAAATAAAATTATTTTATTTTTAAATTGAGACATTTAAATTTTATTAAATTTTACTAAATATAATACATAATTAAATACCATAGGGCAAAAATGTAATTTTATTAGCTAATCCCATGGGATGAGTTATCCCATGGTTTCTATCCCACACCCCCCATGGGATAACATAGTCCCACAAATATAGGACTATTGGCTACATATTTTGTACAAGCCAATTACAATTCGACTCAGTACTTAACAGTGAAGCCATGCAAATTGGTGGATCTGGCCCAGTACAAGAAAATGATATAAGAATGATTCCAAATCCCATTGTAGACGCGCCCGCGTGGGGCCTCTCTACAGTTCGGACTCAATTTGATGTCACGGTTCTAAATCTGAACCAAAGAGTCCAAATCTGGCAAATCGTTTTGAGAAAACAGATTTTGAAAAGAAGTGCCAAACATGGACTGCTTTGCCAGATACAGAGTCGCCACCTAAATATTTTTTATGGGGGAATTTAGGAAACCCTGACTCGGTGCCGAAGGCCACATGTCCGTCATCACCAGAGTTGCCTCGGCTCGGGAGCTAGGGTACGATTGGGGAAGGTCAGCTATGAGCACCCCCTCTCGCCCGATCCGAAGATCGGCCTCAACTAACTGTGATATCTGTTTTTGAAAACGTTATGTATTCTTATTCCATTTATTAGCCTAGAATTACTATGTTATACGCGCAGCAAATAAGTATAGACTAGATTGCCTAATTTGGGAAAAAGCATTGCATATCCATTTGTTTTGGAAAACGTTTTGGAATTTGCTACTCGCAAGTAGGCTAAAAAACATGGATTTCAATGAGTTATTCCAACTCGGGCAACCCAACCTTCACCCATAGGCATCCAAACAGTTTATCACATAAGCATCTAGCCACATGGTAATCATACTATCATGGTAACACCCACACACATGCGAGGATGCTAAAACATAAATACTTACATCGTACTCCGTGTCAAAACAATAAACTAGTTAGTAATCATGCGTGATCCTAGTTTATGTTAAAGTGGCTAATGCAACACATACAGAATACGATTAAGATAGGCTCGGCTAATCTATAATGACATGTGAAATGCTACAACTAATCACGTATTCAATTTGGAATCGAAGTATAAATGCAGTTAGAGTGATGTACCGAGCCCGGTGCATGCAAGACCAATGGATGGATGCACGCATGCATACCATAAGGTATGCTAATTTAAACATGTCCTATTACTAACCATCATAAACAGGTAAGTAAAAGGGAAGAAAGAAGTGGGGATTGGAAGACATGCACACACACGCACCCACACTTATTACAGGTTCGCCCTCGCTTGGAGGGACCAAATAAATAATACAGATTAAATAACGAATTCACTAACCTAGCTAATTAATTATTACAAATTACCTAATTAGTTAACAAACTAACTAAGCTAGGAAAAACAGTAAACCACCTCGGGAAGAGAGTTCGATGCGCGCATGCTCGGGTCTTGCTCGGAAGTGCATTGCCATGCATAGGTTGCCTTTGTTTTCCCTGCTATGCTCCTCTGAAGACTGCCAAAGTCTCAGGATTGCTTCCCTGGACATTAGGAGACACCACCGGCTGAATAGAATGACCACCGGCAGTGGCATGAAATCACTGGCTGTGAATGCATCCATCGGCCATGGAAAGATTGCCAGTCGGCACATAGCACTGCCGGTCGGCAGAAAGTTTCTGCAGAATCTGCAATTGACAGTAACAGAGGGCAAGGCAGAGCATGGCAATACAATTCAAGCCATATATGCACCAATCATGTCCCTTATCATGTTAGTGACTCAAAGGGGCATGCTCCTTGGTTCTCGAACCATCAATCGTGTATTTCCATGCGTGATGGCCCAAGGGACCAAGTGTGCACATTTTGATGTCAAATGCAATACAAACCAACAAACCAAAGTCCAATTCCTATCACTAGATCAAGGAACAAGACATACATGCTAGATGCAATGCGACCTAGGCATGCAAGCTAAGGATGCAACATGAAAATGCAAGATGTGCATGCAAGCATGCAAACAACATGCAAGGTAAGCATGCAAGCTAGCAAAGTATGGGCTTAAACATGATTTGGGCAGTTCTAAATAGGCCCAAAACAATGGCCAAAAGCTTAAGAAAATGGAACCAAACACACATACACACATGCACATGTTAAGGCCTAAACGCTTAAGCATCAAAGGACTACTTTTAAGCGCACTTAAAAGGGGGTAATCATGGACATATGACATGTATTATAAGCCTTGAAAACATGTAGGAAATGATGCCAAATTAACCTACCAATGCAAGCTATACATGCAACCAAACCCAAGTACCTAGAACATGGCCATATGACTCATGAAGCAAATGACCAAATTGAATCAAAACAGTCCCGAATCATGCAAAAGTAAGCCTCAAGAACCACTTAGATGGCATCTAAATGACCTAATCCTAGAGGCATACACAATGGCATAAACATGGAGCATGAAACACCAACTCTTAAAACATCAAAAGGGCCATGAAATACAAGCATATAAGCATGCTAAGTGGACTGAAATGATGCTATAAATGATGCCAAACCATTAAATCAATGCAAGAATTGTCATGCTATACATTCACACACTTAGGCCAACAAGCCGGAATGCAAAGGGGCTATACTAAGCATGCCAAAGCCGACCCCAAACAACCTAGGACAGACTTTAAACATGGCAAAATATGCACAAAAGCTTCACAAAGCTAAGCCTAAAACATGCTTGAACAAGGGTTTACAACCTAAGGCATGTTAAGGCAACAAAGTGGCATTACAAGGTAGGTATGCTAAGGCATGCATGGTGTGCCAAAACCAACAAAAAACAGAGCATATTATGACATAATAAGCACAAAAAGCAGCCAAGGCATGACCAAACATGAAGCTTAGCTAGGTGCTCCTTCAAGAGGCCAAAAATGGTCCATTTCAAGGACAACAAGGAGAGGGGGTGACCCTCTCCTTCTCGGGACCTCAAGGCACCATCCTCACCTCTGAAATTCCGTCAAGATTTCAGTGGTGAGGAGGCCCAAACACCAAGGTCTCGGAGCTCACTCAAATAGCATAAAATGGAGCCTTACAAGGCTTAGGAGGGGTCAAACAACCTCACAACAAAGCACCCTAAATAAACTATTAGAGGGCCTAAAAACAGAACTTTTTGTGTATTATATGCAAAGCCAAAAACACATTTCAAGATAGGTTAAAAATACAATGCAAAAATGGGGTAAATGGACTAGTTTTCTTACCCTTGTTGTCTTTCTTCAAAGATGAGGCTCCAACAGCTTCTTTGAGCTCAAAACAGCTCAAGAACCTCAAGACAACCTCTTGGTCCTTCAAGAAATCAAGCAAAGGTGTAACCACTATGTGTTTGTGTGCAATAGTAAGACACAAACACACTTAAAAACACACAAAGGCTAAATGAGAGAAGAGTATAGAGATAGAATATATATCAAACCCTAAACCTAAAACCAGAGCTCTCACACCAATTTTCTCTCCAAAATTTCTAACCTAGAGCCAAGAGGGGAGGGCTTCCTCTTATAGAGGAGCCAATCTTGTAAAGCTTACAAGTAAGCTAACAAGGGTCCATCCTCCACACACGTGTATGGAGGGGAACAAAATGACATACAGCTGTCTTAAAATATCTGTAAAAGCAGATGAACAGTAATCGACTGCTCAAAATTGCCATTTGTAAAAAAGGAGTGCCGACCGGCAACAAACAGTGCGACCGGCAATATATATTGCCGAAGGCAACAAAACACCAGCCGGTGGCCTCTGGCCATGGCCGGTGATGTGTGGAGATGCCTCACAAGGCATTCCCTGCCTCTCCAAGGCAAAACACAAGTGTTTGGTGCAAAACCAATCACTAAACAGTCGAGTTCGGAGATCCTGAGGCAAGGTGCGTAGCTGAGACCTCGGGAACTCCAAATGAACACAAACACATGATGATCACCGGGTGTTCAAACGATGACGTCAAGTCTTGAGGCGGTCAAAAATGGGGTGTCTACAGTTGCCCCTCTTTGACAGAACTCGAAGTCATAACAATGACGGGAGTGAATGTCAAAGCCCAGAGACGACCCCATTTTTGACAAGGCCGAAGGCTTAGACAAACATGCAAGAACAAACAAAGGTATGCGCCAAGGCAGGGGCAATGCAAGACAATACATAAAGCCAGCATAACTTATGATCATGCAAAGAAAAGCTGTAACGAAGCACACATGCAACAGTTTTAAGCTAGCATATACTAAACTACACATACAATGCAGAAAGGATGAAAGAGAATTAGCGCAATTCTCGATACTTCTCACTCGGAGGATCACAATACCTGTGCGGGCATCGTCTGG